TGCAAAAAAGTTTTTGTTGGCTGAATTGGCTTTTAAATCTATTTACCGAGGAGAGAAATATTCATCACAAGTTAGTCAATCTTTAATACTAAGGCAATTGTTGTCTCTGGGCCTACAAAGATTCTTCCACTTGTTAAAATTTAGATCACCGCTTACCACTTTGCCTTTCCACTTTCCAGAGAAAGTTCCGTGTAATACCTTTTATTTTTTTTGGTTTCCCAAAGGGAACCTAAAAAAATGTCGAGGGGAATGGATGTAAGCAATGAATTAATATGCTCAATCCCACCACCAAATCAGGTAACATTAAAGGTAATTTTCTTGCTTTAAAAAATTTACACCAAATCATGCTAGGCTATTAAGCTGCTCAGTCCTCTTTTCAAGTGAGAACATATACCAATATGGGCATCATGAGACGATCTTTCTTACTTTTCTTTTTTCAAATCGTTACATGTGTGTCTTTTTGTCACCGTTTGTCTTAATAGCCGGTAAGACACAACAAGGCCTTACCTGGTTTTTCAAGTCTAAATCAAGTAATATAGCCCGTAAGACAGAACAAGTCCTTACCTGATTTTTCCAGTCTAAATCAAGTAATCAATGAACAAAGTTTAAATTAATTTTTATTTATTATTTAAACGTCACAAATAAAAACTAAAGTGCAAAGAAATGAAACTGGAATAGGATGTGATGAATATTTGTTTATTTGTAAACCAAACGATCTAGAACTTATTAGCTTATTAATTTACTACAGGACAATGAAAACTCAAAGGGAAGGATGTTTTCTACATATTCATTAGAGTACCTAGTTGATGAAAACTATTCGCAAAAAACTTTCGGAATGTGATTAATCCTTATTTTGGGATGGATTTATCTTTATAACCCTTTGCCTGTTATTCCTACTTCGGTTGGATTACATCAAGAATCAGCCTGAAGCCCATATCTTTTTGCTTTAGTCATGGATGTTCTCACTAGACATTTGCAAGAGGATGTACCTTGGTGTATGCTTTTTGCATATGATATTTTTCTTGTTGATAAGACTAGAGAGGGAGTTGAAGGTAAACTTGAATTATGGAGGTCAACCATAGAGTTTGAAGGTTTTCACTTGAGTAGATCTAAAACTGAATATATGCAGTGTAATTTTTTAGTAGTAATAGACCTAGTGATGAGATTGTGACTTTGGGCGATCATGTCATTAAAGAGTACCACATTTTAGATATCTGGACTATTTGTTAGAGTTATGGTGAAATAGATGGGGATATTATCAACAAAATTGAAGTTGATGGTTGAAGTGGAGGAATGCATTGGCTTACTGTGTGATAGAAAGTACCTCAACTTAAGGAAAATTCTATAAGATGGTGGTGAAACCTGCAATGCTTTATGGTGCGAATGTTGGCCATTAAAAGAGAAGCATAATACTAAGTTAAGAGTTGCAGAGATGAGATGCTTAGGTGGATGAGTGCTTTACTCTCAGAGATAGGATACATAATGAGCATATACGTGAAATGTTGAGTAGCTCTAGTGTGAGATAAGTTAGAGATGATGTAGGGCAAGGAGGGGGTAAAATATTTTGTGTTTAATTTTGGTGAGTTTCTTTATCTCTACTAAAATTAGCTCATTAATGAGCTTCTCTTTCTTTTCATCTCATTAATGCAATTAATTAGATTCATTTCCTTGCTTTTGTTCTCTTTGATTTCTTCCTTTGTCTCTTTGGTTTCTCTCCTTTGATTTATGTCTCTTCCCTTCCCTGTCTAACTCGGTTCTTCTCCCTTGGGCTACTTGCTGTTTTCGGTTTCTGTTGGCTGTTGCTGTTCCCACTCGGTTTTACCCCTCTGGCTGCTTTCCCGTGAAATGCTGCTTGTCTCATGTGCTGGCTCTTCAGGTCCCTTCTGCGCTGTTTCTCGTGGCTGCTGTGGGGGTTTCCGGTGTTTGCTTCCTTTTTCTGTGCAGAAATTCTGCTGGCTGTTCTATAATTAATGCTAGCATTTTGGGAGCTATTTTTGGATAGAATTTGGACAACCTTCCCTTCCTCTTCCCTTTAGTTAATTAGTTTTAAATGAAGTTTTGGTGGCTTTTTGGCTCCTTTTGTGCATATATAAATATATATATTAATATATATATATATATAGAGAGAGAGAGAGAGAGAGAGAGAGAGTTTGTGGCTGTTTTAAAAGGAATGTTATGATGTGTTTTTTGGAAGCCTAAACCTGCGGGTTTCGTCGTGAAAAGCTTGCGAGCTTGTTCCATTCCTCTCTTTGTCTAGGAAAGCTTGCGAGCTTCTCCTCCTTCGTCTCGACCTCTTATCTTGTTCGTCTCTCCGCAAGTGACCACTCCACCTGTATCCTTCTTCTCAAGCAAGGAAATGCAAGTTTAGGTGTCCTTATCATGTCGTTTGTAAGTGTCAAAGTTTGTAAGTTATTTTATTTTATAAAGAGAAATTGTTTTTGGTTTGTCTTGTAGTATTTTGCCTAGTTTTGAGTAATTTGTGTATTTTCTATTACTTAGGAAAGTTTAGCTTTTACTTAAAATTTGGGGCCCTTCCCAAATTTTTTGCTCGCATCAGTTAATTGATGCAAGCAAAAATTTGGGAAGGGCCCCAAATTTTTGCAAGTAAAAGCTATACTTCCTAGGACAAAAAAAAGATACAAAAATATCCAAAAAGAGATGCTTTTTATAATATAAAGGACTCTTACAAACGACGCTTACAACATAACATGACATTACAAATTTATGACATAGAAATGACAACTAAAGAAGCTTTCATTCGTCGAGAAGAAGGATACATATGGGGTGTAACTTGCGGGTAGAAGGAGATAAGAAGCCGAGAAGAAATGAAGACAAGCTCGTAAGCTTTCTCAAAGAGGAAAGGAGGGAGAGAAGTTGGACAAAGCTTGCAAGCTTTTCCACAAAGAAACCCGCAGGTTTACATCTCCAAAAATAACTTACATAACATTCTTTTATTAGAATTGACCCCCCATTGCCTACATCAGATTCTCCCCTCCTGATGAGGAAGCTTCAAAATTTTGGAGATTCGACATTTTAGATTCTTGGATTAGAATATCATACTTTCGTTTGATGGCTTCCATTTCTCGTTCAAATTCTGCTTGCAGTGAATGCTTCTTAGACTCGAATCTCTTGTCACATAATTGCAGTTGTTTTTGAATCCTGAGTAGTTCGATCTATATCGGGTTAGAAGAACTTTCTTGTGGCGAGGTCCATTGGCTTTTAGGAATAGATTATTCAAAATTTTTTTGGCTTACTTTCTTGCTTGCTTTCCATTTGATGTTTATCCATCTTGACTTAAAAAGGAAGTCTCAATAAAAACTTAGATTCACTTGGCACCACAGACTCACATGACACATACAACAACTGCTATGACTCACCAAGATACACACGATAACTTGCTCTGATACCAAATTGATGCAAGAAAAAAATTGGGAAGGGCCCCAAATTTTTGCAAGGACAAAAAAAAAAAACACAAAAATACCCAAAAAGAGATACTTTTTATAATATAAAGGATTCTTACAAACGACGCTTACAACATAACATGCATTACAAATTTATGACATAGAAACGACATTTAAAGAAGCTTGCATTTGTCGAGAAGAAGGATACATGTGGGTTGTAAACTTGCGGGCAGAAGAAGGAGATAAGAAGCCAAGAAGAAATGGAGACAAGCTCGCAAGCTTTCTCAAAGAGGAAAGGAGGGAGAGAAGTTGGACAAAGCTCACAAGCTTTTCTACAAAGAAACCCGCAGGTTTATATCTCCAAAAATAACTCACATAACATTCTTTTATTAGAATTGACCCCCCCTAATCTGATGTAGTCAAGGGGGGGTCTATTCTTCTTGTCCATGGGTTGCTTGTTGTTCTCAGTTTGTGGCTATTTGCTGCTCTCGGAATGGGCCTTGGCTGCTTGGTATTGAGCTTAAAATTCTGGATTTTACTTGATGTTAGCTCATTAATGATTGAGCTGAAGTTTAGCTCAATAATTGGGGGAATAAATATACTTCCTAGCTCATTAAATCAAAAAGGTATGCTATTATTTCAAGATCATTATGGTGGAGTGAACTTGTGTCTCTTCCTTTCCCTTTGCCTTTTTGGTTTATGTTTGCTGTTGCTGTTCTCCTGGTTCTCCCTCTTGGTTTTCCCTTTCTGGATGCTTTTCCCGTGAAATGTTGCCTTGTCTTCTGTGCTGGCTGTTCGGGTCCCTTGCTGGCTGGATTCCCGTGGCTGTTGGATGGGTTTTCCGTGGGCTGTTTCCCCGTTTTTCTGTACAGAATTCCTGCTGTTGTTTTGCTTTCTTTTGGCCTTTCATTTGGTGACTTTTGGCCTTTCATTTCCCCAAATTTGATTGGATTTGGTTGGAGGTGTTATGACTGTTTATCTACCTTCTTTTGCCTATAAAATAGAGTTGTTTTGGGATAAAAAAAGAGTTGCTTATGATGAGATTTTTGGAGTAGAAATCTGCGGGTTTTGTTGGAAAAGCTTGCGAGCTTGTTCCACCTCTCCTCTTCTTCTCCTCTAGGATAGCTTGCGAGCTTTGCCTCTCTTCGTCTCAACTTCTAACCTCTTCTTCTCTCCATGGTGATCACTCCAAATGTATCCTTCTTCTTAATGAATGCAAGCTTCTTTAGGTGTGGTCTTTGTTCGTGTTTTTAAGAGTAAGAAGTTGTGTCTTTCTATTATGACATAAAAGTGTCTTTTTGTAGTATTTTGTATCTTTTTGGCAATTTATATAATTTTCTATTATTTAGGAAGTATTATTATTTGCTTGCAAAAATTTGGGGCCCTTCCTAAATTTTTGCTCGCATCAAGAGAGAGTCGGCTTAGATGGTTTGGTCACATCTTTTTAATTTCTCTTTACTTATTTGATTGTGCTTTTATGCTTTGTGGATTGACCTTTGCACGCAATAGATTATATTGCTTTAGTGGTGTCATGGTTCTCGCAATTTTATGATTATTTCAAGAGAATGTTAAGTTTTGACAATTTAATTGCTTTAACAGGCTCCAGTCTACAAAGAACCGTCATTTACTATACCGGGCATTCCAGCAATTGTGCAGCATGAAATTTTGAATAATAGAAGACAGGTTCTAACTAAGGTGATTGTGATGTCTTTTATTTGTATAATGTACTCTATGCGTAGGTTTCAAATTCTTTTTAATTGAAATGTGAAAACATTTTGCAGTATGCATGTGCTATTCTGATTATCACTATAGTTGGGATAAATGGTGGCAACAGCTGATGCCGCCTATGATCCACATGTTTTCTTAATTAGTTCATGGAACTTTTAACAGGATACAGCAGGTTCAGTAAAATTGTGGGAGATCACCAGGGGAGTCGTGATTGAGGACTATGGCAAGGTTTCTTCTATATTAGCTTATCTTACTGCATCTTAGTTCTCTCTGTTTTTAATATCATTATCTTTGTATCAGATGTTTTTTTTTTGCACGGAATTGTCTTCTTTCAAATCCCGGAAGTTAGATCTGTAAATGCTTTTTCTTTTAGGATTTAATTGCATTTGCTTCAAAAGACATTGCTTCAAAAGACATAATAGATATCTACTTTTATTGGAACATATAGCAACAATACATTGTTAAATGTTTTCATTCAATTCTATCATTTTTTTCATCTGCAGATCTTAAATAATGCTGATCAACTTTACTATAACATTTAGTGTAGTACTTAATCATGTGTTACGCCTGGATCGGTCCCAGCTGGACCGGTCCGGTTCTACACCCGGCGGCTCAAAGCCGGGCGGAACCAAGCGGAGAACAGAGAGAAGGGGCAGGATTTTGGTGGGCCCTAGCTGGGGTTAAAATGCATTGTGGGAGGGAAATTTTGAAATAGAAGGGTCTTTTAGGTATTTTGTAAAACTCCTTTATTGTTAATTAGGAGGATTGGGGGGAAATTCAATCTCATCTTGAATTTGAGTTCTAGGTTGTCTTGCTTGAGCTCTTGGCGTTGCCGGAGAATTGGAGAGTTTTTCTTCCTCTCGAATTGAATAACGATTGTATCTTTGCTGATTTCTATTCTTCTACTAGTGAAATCCAAGTCTTTATTTGAGTTTCTTGCTATTTTCTCGCTGTTTTCCTGTGCTCGGGTGCTGTTCTCCATTGAAAACAGCAGTAAAACTGCTGTTTCCTCTCCGGTTGTGATTAGGTTTGCTTGCGGACTCAAGTATTCCCTAGGGTTACTTGCGAGCTCAAGTATTTCCTATCAAATTGGTATCAGAGCATCATCTTGGGACCATCGGCGGCTGAAAATTCAGAAATTTTAGCAAGAAACCCTCTTCCACAAGGGAAATTTTCGGTTGCCGTGGAAGAGAAGATGGCCGGAAGAAAAGTAGAAGTTCTGGAGGGTGAAATCGGCCAACCGAAGACCGATTTGGAAGAGAGAACCGTTGAGTTTCAAAATCAATTTGCGTCCATCCATGAAAAGATGGATGGGAGGTTTACCGGCAGTTAGAAGAAATGAAATGAAGAAGGTCTGTTAGAGAGCAAATCAAAACACCGACGACGAAGCAGAAGCAAGGAAGGCCAGAACTGGCAGACAATGGGAGAAACGGGATACCCGAACCCATTGAGGGGAGGGGCTATACCGAAGTGGAAGTTCCGGATGGGAATGAAGGAATGCCTCTTTGTCCGCTAAGAACCCGCTTTGTAGAGAGGAGATTACATGATGAGAGAAGGGGTGGTTGAATTTTTTGAGATAAGGGATGAGTCGTAAGCACCGTCGAGGTCTGAGGAGGAGAGGAGAAGGAAGAAGTATGAGGAAGGACAGGGTAATGATCGGCGAAGGAAGTTTCGTGACCACTGGGGCTTTTCCTTCTCGGAATGAGAGTTATGGAGCAGTAAGAGGAAATGGGAGATCGAGGTGAGAAAATTGAAGATGCCCCATCTTGAGGGCGAGGCTCGCACATAGGCTGGATCTACAAGGTGGAGCGATACCTTTACGGTCAGTGGGTTGAGACCGAGGAGGAGAAATTGACAGTGCAGGATGGGTGTTTGGAAGGGAAACATTAGCTTGGTACAGTGACGGGGACATGAGGCGGCCACATGTCGAGCTGAGGGGTTCAAGGACTGTCTGCTGAGCGTTTCCTTCTCGACTAGTAGAGGAGAACTTCTACACCGCAGTTCTGCCCTGACATAGGAGGGATGGTCGCCGAGGTACCACGACTAGGTTTGGATGCCTGCGAGCAGGCTTGAGATCATCTCTCTGAGACCGTGTTGGAGGGGAACTTCATGAAGGGCCTTAAACCGGAGATCAGGGCAGCTGTCAGGGTGATGAGACCTCACGATTTGGGGGAAGCCATGGAGTTGGCACAGCTGGTGGAGGATCAGAGGTATCTGGAGAAAGGGGCTCGTAGCAGCAGCTCTGGGGGATCCTATAGGATGACGACTACCTTCCTAGCTCTAAAAGGAGCTGCACCACGAGAGGCACCAAAGGAGAGGACAGGAGGCAGCAATGGTGGGCAGTTCAAAAAGCTGACTGAAAAGGAGCTGCAAGAAAAAATGGCAAAAAGGGTGTGATTCAGGTGTGATGAGAAGTACATTCTGGGGCACAGGTGCAATGACTGATCTCTTCAGGTTCTTCTCATTTGTGAAGATGAGGAAGAAGAAGAGGGAGGCGGGAGTGACCCCGAGGGGGAGGAGGAGGAGAAGCTGCATCTGGATGTAGAAGAAGTCTCTTTGAACTCAGTAGTGGGATTCACTTCGAGTCACACTATGAAGGTGAAAGGAGAGATCTTTGACCGGGAGGTTGTGGTGTTGATTGATAGTGGGGCAACTCACAATTTCATCTCCACCCAGATTGTTGATGCAATGGGGATGGAGCTGGTGGATACGGGAGGTTACGAGGTAATGATGGGCACCAGAAAGGTAGAGATGGGACGAGGAGTTTGTCAAGTAGTACTGAAGATTCAGGGGATTCATGTAAAGGAAGACTTCCTTCCCCTGGAATTGGGGAGTACGGTTATTATCCTTGGAATGAAATGGCTGCAGACTTTGGGGGAGACCAAAGTCAATTGGGGTGGTTTGAAGATGGAACTAATGGTGGAGGGACAGAGGATGACGATCCAGGGTGATTCAGGGCTATCCAGGGCAGGAGTATCCCTCAAATCCATGATCAGATCCATACAGGAGGTGGGAGGAGGATACTTAGTGGAGCTGCAACGCTTGGAGAGGGTCAGTGTGGGGGAAGAAGGACACATTCCACGGGTGGTACAACCACTCATACAGCAGTTCAAAGAGGTGTTCCAACCACCACAAGGACTGCCACCACCCAGAGAGCAGGAGCACGCCATCCTTCTGAAGGACGGGATATCACCGATTAGTGTTCGACCTTACCGTTACCCCCAGATTCAGAAAGATGAAATTGAGAAGCTTATTAGGGAAATGTTGGAAGCAGGGATTGTCAGACCTAGTGTGAGTCCCTTCTCCAGTCCTGTCTTGCTAGTCAAAAAGAAGGATGGGAGCTGGAGATTTTGCGTGGATTACATGGCGCTAAACAAGGAGATAGTCCCAGATAAATTCCCCATTCCAGTGATCGATGAGTTAAATGGAGTCGTGATTTTTTCCAAGATGGACTTAAAGTCAGGCTACCACCAAATCAGAATGAAAGAGGAAGACATTCAGAAGACGACATTCAGAACACATGAGGGGCACTATGAGTTTCTAGTGATGCTGTTTGGGCTCACTAATGCCCTTGCTACTTTTCAGTCCTTGATGAATAGAGTGTTCCGGCAGCATCTGAGGAAGTTTGTGCTAGTTTTCTTTGATGACATTCTGGTGTACAGTCGAATGGCGGTGGAGCACTTGGAGCACTTGAAGGAGGTTCTTAGCATCCTACAAGCCCATCAGCTGAAGGCTAACTTAAAGAAGTGCAGTTTCGCTCAGTCCAGAGTGGAATATTTCGGACATGTGGTTTCTGAAGAGGGAGTAGCAGCCGACCAGTCAAAGATTGAGGCAATGCAGAAATGGCCAATGCCTAGGAACATAAGAGAAACTGAGAGGATTCCTAGGATTGACTGTATACTACAGAAGGTTCGTGAAGGGATACAGCACCATCGCTTGGCCCTTGACTGAGCAACTGAAGAAGGACAATTTCCTATGGGGAGAGGCGGCAACCCAAGCCTTCGAGAGGTTGAAAAAAGCTATGATGATCATTTCAGTGTTAGCACTACCAGATTTCAGTTAGATCTTTATAATGGAGACCGATGCATCAAGATATGGCTTAGGAGCCGTGTTGATGTAGAATCACAAGCCTATAGCATATTTCAGTCAGGTGCTCTCGGCAAGGGCTAGATTGAAATCAGTGTATGAGCGGGAACTGATGGCCATAGTCTTAGCCATACAAAAATGGCGCTCTTATCTGTTGGGACGACATTTCATCATTCGAACAGATCAGAGAAGTCTGAAATACCTGCTAGAGCAAAGAATGGTGACAGAGGAGCATCAAAGGTGGTTGTCAAAGCTGCTAGGCTATGATTTTGAGATCCAGTATTGCCAGGGGTGGAGAATAAGGAAGCTGACGCCTTATCTAGATGTGCGGGGGAACTTCAGGAGATGGCAGTCTCGGTACCCTTGATGGTTGATTGGGGGGCCATTAAGGAGGAGATCATGCATAATGAAGAATTGAAAAAGATCAGAGATGGTTTGATGAAGGACAGTAGCAGCCATTCAGGGTACTATCTGGAGAGAGAGAGGCTGCTATACCAGGGAAGGTTTGTGATACCACGAACATCTGTACACATTTCTCACCTATTGTAGGAATTCCATGGCAATGTAGTTGGGGGTCATTCAGGAGTACATAAGACATATAGGAGGTTGGCATTGGAGCTCTATTGGAAGGAGATGTTTAAGGATGTCGAGAAGATGGTGGCAAAATGTGAGGAGTGCAAGAGGAATAAGTATATGACAATGGTGCCAGGAGGATTACTCCAACCATTAGCACTTCCGAACAGAGTATGGGAGGAAGTGTCTATGGACTTCATCGACGGCCTACCCCGCTCAGAAGGATTCACAGTTATCTTAGTCGTGGTGGATTGACTCAACAAGTATGCACATTTTATCCTCCTTCGACACCCTTACACCGCAGTATTAGTGGCAGCAACATTTATCAGGGAAGTGATTAGATTACATGGGATTCCAGAATCAATTGTGTCGGATATAGACAAAGTGTTCCTCAGTCAGTTTTGGAGAGAACTTTTCAGAATGCAGGGCACAATTCTCAAGAGAAGCACTGCGTACCATCCACAGACAGACGGACAAACATAAGTGGTTAACCGGAGCCTGGAGACATATTTGAGATGTTTTACATCTGAAACGCCACGTAAGTGGGCAAAATGGTTGCCATGGGCGGA